TGCAGTCCCACCAGCAGTGCACCAGGGTTCCCTTTTCCCCACAGCCTCGCCAGCATTTGTTGTTTGTTGATTTATTGATGATAGCCATTCTGACCGGTAACCACTGCCTCTTTAGATACTCATATTAACACAAAAGTAATTCAAAATCATGGTAAGGGTTTTGAGTATTTCATTTGCAGGGAAAAGAGTATGGAGATGGCCAGCCTTTCACCTGTCCCAAACATCTTGATAATGCAGTGTTGCATTTAACAAGAATGTTCTGGTTCAGGTGATTATTAGCAGCAAAAGTGAAGACAGGTCTTCATAATTAGGTATACACTTATAAACGATGACTCAGAACTTTTCCCCCAACCAATAAAAAATATTGTGTATAAAATGGTCTCAGTTTCAAATTTCCTACTGCAATGGTGTTCATCTGCTAGAGGTCCTGTGGACAACAAACTCAGGACAGTGATGCAAGACAGAACTCAGCTGCTTTTTTCTTTCCCTCCAAAGTCTCCTTCTCTTGTTTTCTTTTAAAAGGTCCCCTTGCTCTCCGACCCCCTAGGTTTGCATACCCAGTGTCACCTCTGCCCCCTTCCTGTCTTCTTAGGTGCCAAATCTTATTGGTTCTCCTGCTCTTGGGCTTCTCACTGGTTCTCATCTCTCTTTTTACCTGTATTTCACTTTCATTCCTAGTATATCTCGGGCTTTCAGTACCTCATCCACTGATCACAACATTTACTGAGTTTTACTCCATGCCTCGTGTCTCAAAGTGAAGGCAAGAGAGGAAAAGGGGGCTACATTTGATCTCATCTGACCACATGACCTCAAGAATCAGATGTCATTTGAAATGAAGTCCTATATGCTTCCCTAATCCACTGTAATGAATGTCTCCAATTAAAGAAGCTACACAACCTTCATTTGGACATTTCCTAGCTCAGATCTGTATTTGAAAATGGAGTCTAGTGATTATGCAAGAGTTGACCTTCAGCTGTGCCTCACATGGAGAACTGGGGCCCAGAGTCTAGTGGGGCAAAACCTGGTGCACAGGCATGTCTAACACAGTGGGAGGGTATACTGACAGAGACTGACTGGGGGCATTGTGAAGTACAGGGGACAGCCACCTAGCTGAGGCTGGAAGGGTGGGAGAGGCATATCCAGGAAGGCTTTCATGAGGACCTGGAAGAGTTAGCTGGACCATTATATAATACAAGAACTGCCTGATTTTGTCCTTTGTAGTCTTTGCCCTCCTTTCCATCCTGCCCATCCCTGTCAGATCACACCTTTCCCCAAAATCTTTTTAATTTTCTCATCAATTTTTATTTAATTTCTTGGCCTGACATTCAGTTCTCTCTCTGGCCCAACTCCAGTCTTCATTTCCAGAGCTCCTTGTCCAGCACGCATCCCGTATATTTTGGACACTCTGTCTTGGCTCACTCATTGACTTTGCTAGAAATTCATTCTCTCCTCCAGCCCCAATAGCAGCCAGTTGCTCAAATTCAGCCCAATTTTCCAGATCCCAGCTCAAGCATCACCTCCTCTAGGAAGTCCACTTGTTGACATCTCCCAATCATAAATCCCTTCCTCTTTTGTAATTACATGGTAGTTTATTTTGTTTAATTGCCTCCATCAGTTTCTACCTTGCATTAAAATTATTTGGGTACAAGCAGGGCTGATACTCAGCTGGCCCGTCCAGTTGTGAAAATACTGGTATGTCTCTATATTGGTGTGTAAATAGCTGCAGCCCTAAGGCCTCTGAGTGCCTCACCTCCCACCACCCCATCTAGCGGATAATGGTTTGAGTATCATCTCTGGGCATATGTCATAGAATTTGTTTTGTTATTGCTTTAAGGCTGTCTATTTCACAGAATTGTTGTGGCGATTAATTGAGATGATGTACGTACTCACGAATACTTAACACAGTGCTTGGTATCAAAGTAAATGTTTAACCAGCATTAGTGGCCCTGCTTGCCTGAAAGTGAAGACAGAGTTTATTTCTTCCTGTGTTCCCCGAGGTTCAACTTTGCACATAGGAAATACTTAATCAATTCCAGCTGAATGGATTTGTTCCAGTTATGAGGAGAATTTTTGTAAAGTTAAAATATCTGTGATACTGTTGTGTAATGGTTCAGATATACGTACTTTATTATAAATAGACAAGCTTTCCAACTCTGAGTGATTGTTTTATAAGTTGGCAAAAACTATCTGTAATGAGAATTTGTAATTTAACAAATATAAAGAAAAAATCCTCCCACTCCCCAAAAAAGAAAAACCACTTCCAACTCAGTTCACTTGTATTATTGAACATTTCCATTTTCATTTAGTTAATAATATATTAATATAATAACAGATTAACTGCATATCTTACACTATTAAAACAGTTTCTCACAAATAACTGTTAAAGTGAAATTTGCAAGGAAGAGAGGAAAGTGGAGAGAGAATGTTGTGTGGAATTTATGGTCAAAATTTACAGAAAGATTTTTAAGCCCATTATTTACATTGTTAACACCAGTATTTGATCAGTCTAAATTCCTGTATGTCCAAATAATTTACAGAATTCCTAGAGTTGGGTCTGAGTAAATGTTCCTGCTTCATTCTTCTGTGAAAGAGTATGGTTTTCAATGCAAAGTAAAATGCAGCCAGGAAGAACGTTAGTCAGGAATGATGGCCCATTATTACCCATCCCAAGCCCTTTCTCTCATTTTTATTAGGTTTGCCTCATCACTTTTGGACTTTGCTGGACTTATTAGTGCCCTGTGGGGCTGAGAGAGTTAGTTGCAAACCTAATTTGGGTTCTGGAAAAAATCTTATTCATTGTACTGAAGCTTCTCTCACTAAGTGGTATAATTTCTTACTGCAATGGGCCTTTTAAAAACAAACCAACCTGTCATGGCCAATTAGGTTAGATATTGTGGGACTAAATTTATATTATTCATCTGAAAATAATATCTGTATAAAATACTTTATATATATTTTAGTAATTAGCATTGAATATTTTTTAATAAAGAACCAATCACATCATATTAGAAGTAAAATGTACCACATCTGCCATAGCTTTTGTTAGTTGTTTTAGTGTACATATTAATTCTGGAGACCTTACTTAAATTCAAACTCTTACATAAAAAATTCCTAGAGTAGTATTGCTGTTCTAGTAAATTTTTACTGTTTTACCTCAACACCTGGTCTTTCCATATGAAAGGAATGGCATATTGTTTATAGTTTTCATCACACTCTTTTCTTCAAAAACTCTTACGGTGGGGCCTGGGTAGAATTAAATGTTCTTGTTGTCAGTTGTTATGTAACACCTTAATATTGTAGAATCATGATATAGTAAATTTCCTTTTATTTGTCTGAGAAGTCACCTGTTGATTCTATTCATGGAAATAGAGTTTTTTAGTTTCCTTGGGCATGTCACAATTTTTTTTTCTTTTTTGCAGAAGTTATTGTAAAATTGGGCAGCTGAAATATAAGAATAATTTCCAGACTTTTGTCTCCCTAGAGATATAACATTTTCAGGGGTTAGAGTTTTTTTTTCCTTAATGAACACCTAATACTATATACTATAAACTTAATTAGAATCAAGTTTTAAAATCTTGACTATTCTAAAGTTTAGAGCTGTCAGCGGTGTCTTGCCAAGTGAACCAGGCCCCCTGGAACATACCCACATTTAAGAAGGATCTGCATTTTCATGGCCCTTGAGTATGATTTTAACTCTTTCGCTGAGGGGGGTAGCCTGAGCAAGGATCATTTGATATTGATATTTGGTATTTATTCATCTAGGATACTATCACAAATTGAAGATGATTTGAATCAATTCATTCAAATATATTATGGGCAAATGTAGAGCTGAACCTTTCTCTGAGTTTACAAATTACATTTATAAAAGCAAATACAGTTTGGAAATAGGCCCCATCTGTCTAAATTTAACCTTATACTAGCATTTTGTGTGCAGGGCAGTAGAAAAGAAAAGAAAACTTCAGTTAAAAATTTTAATGGAACCGCGCCCCCCCACACACACACACACCACCACCACCCTGCAGTTTTTTGTATTTTTTATTGACTGGAGAATATAAGATCGTTTTCTCCTAGTCCGTCTTCTTTTATGACTTGTCCTCTTTCTCTTCAGGTTTAGCTTTCATTCTCAGCCTCTTCCCTGTGCATCATTTGCCTCAATCACATGTATTCATAACTGTGCACATCAGCCTATATCTTTGAAGGCTCTTCTCCCATCCTAGTCTTCTGACTGTAACTGCCTGGTAGATTTTTAATTAAAATTGTTCATCATTATTTCAAATCTAATATAGAGGAATGATTTCAGCATATATGGGTGGGTTTAAGCACTCCTTTTCTAAACTACTGGATGACAATAATTGATACTTTGTACCATATATTTGCAGGGCGTGGTGTCTACCTGAAGAACATTTTACAGTAAAAGGAAAGATGCTGTCTCCAAATGATGAAAAGTTAGAAACGCTGGATCGGTTTTATCGACCATCAATGGCCAGGCCCAAGACCAGTGCAGAAATCATAAGTGAAGCCCGAAATGCACTGAGAACAGTTAGGACCCAGAGACCCTTTACGCCACGGGAGGACCAAAGGAAACTATTCGGACCTGCATCTTCAAGGACTCCGGAAAACAGACCCCCTTCCTCCTTCAGGTAGATTACATTTCTCCTGCCTGTACAGATACGTAAGCCACCAGATGACATTCTCCCTTAACTCTAGTTAAGGATAGTTGCTTTTCTAACTTTGACTTCTGCTAATTATACCTCTTATCTGTTCAAGATTCCTGAAGATAGTTCCAGACCTTGGGTCCAAGAAGTTGGTTTGCAGTGGTTAATAGTGGTTGTCACACCAACTTTATAAAGTGATATGAACAAAGTTTTAAAAAATAAAAATCACTACATTCATTTCTTTTCATTATTCAATACTTTTAATCCTAAAAACAATGAAATGACTTATTAATAAAATGTCTTAAGTTTTAAATGTCTTAATTTTTTTTTAATTACGTTTCTCAAGGCTTTTGCATTGAATGCTTTTGCCTTGGACTAGAGTTAACTCACATATACTAGAAATAAAAGAAATGATTCTTTACAAAGTAATGCTTATGTTCCGTCTCCTGTGCTAGCCTCCATGCGTCCAGTTTTGAGTCATCTGATCCCAGGCCCATCTCTGGTGCACGTCTCAGCCCACTAGAGCTTGTGAGTACTTGATCATAGCATGAGAGCTGTGAAATGGAATTAGTCAAAAATATTTGGAATCAGCACTAATATAAGCTAAGGAAATGGTTACATAGACCCAAATGTACTAATAATTTAATATGAAAGCAAATTCTTTTATACTTTTTCAAATATAATGGTTAGTGTGTAATGAAACATTTTTATTATTTACCTATAGTTTAATAATAATTTTAGAAATATAGAGTAACCTGGCAAAAAAACATTAAAAAATTTTTTGTAAGAGTCACGTATATATATTACTTTATTTCTTTTAATATTTGTATATCATACAAATAAATACATGTACATAAAGTTTCAAAGATTTGCTACAAAAACAACTCCAACAGTCTCCTGTCCCATTATTCTTCATTCTCATTTCTCCAGAGGTGCTTACTTGAAACTCATTTGGCACATTCTTTTGGTATTTACATCCAAATTCCTAAATAACACAGTGTCTTGCTGCTCTATGATTTATGAGCTCTAGGAATTATCTAATGACTTCCTGCTATGGAAGTTGAAGATTTAACTCTTGTCTGTTCTTCCATGCCTCCTAACAACACATTCACCCTTTCTGTCTCCACTGTGACACCCAATATATTAATAGCTATTTCATCATTTCGGTTACATCCCTTTTCTCGGACTATGATTATAGATACACTGTTTACAGCTGAACCTTGAACTAATGATGATTACTTCTCTTTCCCTGCACCACTTTTTGTTTTTCCTGGCATTAATAATTGCCTTGCTTTTTTAGTTTTGTATTATTATAACACTATTTCAACCTCAAACTCTTCCCTAGTGGTCCAGATCTCCTTCATATATTCAGGCAGATGAGGTGTTCTGTTGATTCATCTCTTTGGAGAACTTCCCACACTCCCTCCTGGACCACTTGCCCTAGGCATCTATCATAGAGCCTGCTCCCTTCTCTCCTGCTGGCTTCCCGGTTTCCTGTATCCCAAGTTTTTCTCTTTTTTGATTTACTCTTGTTGTGGTGGAGTACTCCCTCCAATAATTTCTTGAGAAAGGGTGTATAGGAAGTAAATTATTTGAGACCTCGATTGCTGTTTTCTCTCTCTAGAATTTTGAAGGATTTTTCTTTGTTCCTGGTGTCCTGAAATTCCATGATAATGGGCCTTTGTACTTGTCCATTTCATCCACCATGCTGGGCACTTTCAATCTCATGCTCTTCAACTCTGGGAAATACCTTGAATTATTTTGCTGTGTCTTCCCCCTTTTTTTGTTCTGTTTGTTCTTTCTTGAATGTATTATTTGGATGTGGGATCCAAGCAGAACTGGCACTCTAATTTTCTTACTTTTTCTTTTCTGTTTCTCATCTTTTTTTTAGAAGAAATGTTATTCTCTAATCCTTTTATTGAATTCTTTTCTTTTCTGCTATCATATTTTTAATTTCCAAAAGCTTTTACCCCTTCTAAATTATCTTTTTTTAATATACAGTATCCTGTTCTTGTTTTAGGATTATAGCATCTTATCTGTGTATATTAATAATAGTTTTGATTTTTTTTTTTAAGATTTTTATTGGGGAATTGGGGGATGGGAACAGACAAGTTGCTGTCCTTTTGTTCTTCAGTCTAGTTGTGGAGGACGTTGCTTCACTGGCCCAAGTTGGCACCATCATTGCACTCTTCCCGGGCGAGGCAGATCAGCTGCCGGCTTCTGGACGGCCGCTCACTGCGGCTGCTGGCCGCTCACGCTGGCTGCTGGCTACACATGGTAGCCTATGGCAACCCACTGCAGCAGTGGCTGCAGCCCACGCCGTCACTGGCGACTCACGGCAGCCAGCTCCAGGTTGACATGTTGTTCAGCATCTTAGCTGTGGAGGGCAGTGTCACTGGCCCTCATATGTCGGATCCGAACTGGGGCCCTCTGGCGTGCAAGCCAGCTCTTAACCAACGCGCCACTCGGCTGACCCATAGTTTTGATTTTTTAATTTCTTTTTCTTCCTTTAAAATCTGCAGTGTGTGTGTGTGTGTGTGTGTGTGTGTGTGTGTATGCGTGTGTGTGTTAACAGAAATTTATTTTCTCACAGTTCTAAAGGTTAGAGATCAAGGTGGCAGCTGGATTGATTCCTCCTAAGGCCTTTCTGCTTGGCTTGTAGAAGGTCATCTTTCCTCCATGTCTTTCACATGGTCTTTCCTCTGTGTCTTGTTGCATTTTTTTGTTTGTTTGGGTCTCTGGTTTTCATATCAGAGATTCTCCTCTGATAGCTCATGCTGCTTGTCTGGCTGCCCTTATTTGACGGTGGAAGCATGTGGAATGGATTGGTCAACCCATAAGTGATACCTACCCACGCCTACATTTAGGAGGTCTGCTGGACTATGTTGTTTGCGAAAACCCCAACGGCAGAGTAAAAGTGGGCTAAGAAATCCCCATGTTAAGTTAAATAACTCCTTAATTTTGGAATATTTTTGTTATAGTGTATTATATAAAGATCTTAAGTGGATTGTATAAAGATACTTCATTTTAAACAATAGTTGCAGTTTGGAGCTCCCAGTCAAAAAATTCTGAAAGTGACCTCATGCCGCCTGCCCTTCCACCTTTTTTCACCTTTTAATGAACACCTTGCCTCTGGTAGCCACTAAATTGACTGAGGGAGGAGCTAAGGGGAAATAAGAGTAGAAGAGGAAGGGGGATAAAGGTGACAGCTGGAGAGTAGGGGTGGAGTATCTCATAGTTAAGGGACAGACTTGCTGAAAGAATTTGTGAAGACTTAACTAATTGAATTTTAGCACTGTTTGGATCTAGGACACTTTCTCAGGCTAGTTTGCCTTTTTATACTACCTCAAGCAGGAGTCAGACAGAGAGGAGGGACCCAGAGAGCACCCCATTCCAGCTCCTACATTTAACACATCAGTGTAACTCTTTGTGCTTGCAGGCCTACCCATCTGTTTCTCCCCATATCTGGCCTGTGTTCCCCCCACACCCTCCAGCAGGCTGTGGGCTGCCTACCCAGGAATGACCTGGCCTTCAGAGAATGATGGACAAACTGATGCTCCTCATCCTGACCACTCAGGCCGTGACTGGCTTGACTGGCTCTCCAGGATTCCCATTAGCCCCTGTCATCTTAGAAGACAGGGGGAAGGTACTGCAATTTGCAGCCTTCCGTTAACATTTACATCTTCCTGCCATATAGGAATGCCTGGGTACATATTTTTCTTTCTTAGCAGCTCCCCGCCTTCCCATGACAGCTCTGAGATGTGGGGCTCTAGTGGGGTGGTAGTTATTCCTATTTTCATTCGGCTGCTCTGGTGAGCTGGTGTTCAGATTTATATACACAGGAATAGCTGCTGTCATGCTTTGCATTGTATAAAGTAGGAAAAGACGTGACCATGTGAATAAACAGGAAATTTTGCCTTTCATCATTATCATTGTCAAAGCAGAATTCTCCCTATGTCTCCTGACCTTACAAAGCTTCATGATTTAAACTCCAAGTATTTTATTAAAGTTTTTATTGACATGCAGAAAAGATACAGATCCTAAGAGTGCAGTTTGATAAATTTACACAAACTCAGCACGCTCAGGAACCAGGATTCAAAAAGGAAAAATAGACCATTACCAGCAGCACTTCAGATACTGCCTCCCCATGGCGACTACTGTTCTGACTCCTCACAGCAGAGGTTAGTTTGAGCTATTATTTTTACATTTTACAGAAGCCAAGCTCCAAGTATTTGACAAGTACAACAAAATTTAATACACATATATTTTTAGAAGAAAGGGACTTAGAAGCCCGTATGTACCTTGAGGATAGGAGAGATCCAGGGTAAAGAGAAACAATGAGATTGTCAGAGAAGCGTTTCTTCTTTCACTATTTCTGAAAGGAACGGCAACATTACAGCAGTGAGTCGCATGCTGAGAGCGACAGAGGAGCCCAAAGCACCTGTAGAGAAAATCGTGGTTATAGGAAAAGGCACATACAGTTGCCACATCCAAAGGTTATGTGCTTGGGAGACTTTTTAATATTTGCTCTCTAACTTTCAAGAGGTCTTTTAGAGTGTGTGTGTGTGTGTGTGTGCTGTTGCTTTACAAATTACATCATAACAACTTTCTGGAATGGGATGTCATGGACTCCCTCTTCTGGCCTTCGTGTACAATAGGGGAGACCCTGCTTTCCCACCCAATGATCCCCAGAAGCCATGTCAGAAGGTGATCAAGGCCCGCATGCTGGGAGGGGGTGAGGCCCGCCAGATCCCTTCCGTGTTCTAGAAATTCTGTCTTCTTTGACTTGGTTGTTCTGTGAAAATAGTCTTTCAGTCTTCCTCGGACTCTAGCAGTTTTATCAACCAGATCAAATGTTAAATTCTGACTTTCTAGTGCCCCTGATTGTACTGAACTTGCTGGTTAGTGTCATGACACAAAATGTGAGGGAGGTGAAGATCTGAACTTACTGGCATTCTCTGAATTCTAAAATGATGTGAATTGTATAAGAAAAAATTTTATTGGTTTGCTTCATAAAAGCCATTTTGTTCCATAAAGTGGAAGAACATTTTATAGAACCTGGCATGACAGAAACTGATGGCTTGTTTAGCAGTTTTCCCTAAAATATAAACATGTAGCAGTTTATATTTTAAGTAGTCCAGTGAGCTAATATGTTTAAATGGGATAAATAATTTAGTAAAGGTCAGCAGTAAAATGGAACTAATTTCTTTTTATATAAACAATGACTAATTCTGTACTAGAAAAATAATGCCTTCTATAAAGGAACAGTTAAGGGACTTTATCTTGCCATCCAGAGATAATTCAGTTATTCTCTTTTGGGAAAAATTAGCTTTGCAAAACTATATTTTCTCTTTTTATAAGATCTTTTGTATATAGTACCCCAAGCGTGTAGAACAGTTAAGGCATCTGTAAAAGAAAACATTTACTTTATCTGCGTTATGATTATTTGATAGACTTCTCGATCTTGGTTTCAGATTTAAAGTACCTGCAGAGTACAGATGTTTTGAGATAAAAAATCCTGCGATCTA